GCCATGTCTTATTTCTACACTGACTGCTTCTATGCCTTGATCTTCAGTACCAATATAATTTTTCAGTGAAACACTGATCTCTTCTTTTCCTAAGAAAGGTACACCACCTCCTTTTCCTTTCTGCCTATCCTTTAGGAATACTGAATACCCTTGGATATTCAATTCCTAAATCTAATTTCCCTGCAACCACATCTCAGTAATCACCACCAAATCATACCCATTTGCCTCCATTTGGACTGTTAACTCATTATTTTATTCCAAATGCTTTATACATTCAGATTGAAAGCCTTTAAGTTTGTTCTATTAATCTAAGCAGTGTGACTGCCTCCTAAAACAGTGTCCAGGTAACTCTTCCCCCTCCTCAATATGTTGCAATGCTCAAAGCTTGAACTCCAGCTCATCACCTCTGGGCAAGAGTTCCTCAAGCAACCAACACTTGCTACAGATGTAATCACTATGAATGCAGGCACAAGACATCACCTGATCCTGCATCTCGAATTTTATTTTCTTAGTTCTTAATTTTTTTTAAATTTCCTACTGGTCTTCTGGTTTTAAATCTAGAAAATATTTCTATTTCCCTTTAATCTGAAAGTAACCTTTAATCGATAGTCAAATTAGCAGCTATTACCAATGAACATATGGTTTTCCAGTTGTTTTCTGCTGAGCCCCTGATCCTGGGCTTCAATTTATCCTATTAAAAAAGACCTCTGAAATTACAAACCTCTTGCCCTCTGCACTGAATCCCCACACTTCTCCAAGTTATAAAATAACCTACCAGTGCATAGGAGATTTGGAGGTGGAAAGCTGACAGGTTTAACTGAAAAGTTCATAGAAAATAATATCAGGATAGGATAGGCAAAAATGAAATGACCAGATCAAACAGCACTCAATTCAAGAATATGTGCATATTACTATAATATTTACAGCCTACGATACCATTCTCTTCCTCACTCATCGTTTTCCAGTTGTGTGGGACTGTCTTTGCTTGGTTCCACTCTTACCTACAGCCAAGAGCATCTCCATCAATAGCTGTCCTGCCAATGCTGAGTAATCCCCAAAGGAGCAATATTTTAACCTTTATCTTCTTCAGTTTATGCTGCCCTAGTCAATATCAACATTAAGACTGTTTCTCTCTACTTGCCAATCAATTGTAGTAGCACACCAGCTTGAGTTGCAGAATTCCAGGTTTAAGTCCCTTTCTAGCATTTCAGTGAAAAAATCAAGCCTGACATTCCAACACACTGTTGAGGGAAGGGCATTCGCCCCAGCAGCTTGGACAAAATTTATCCCGCAATAACATTCTGCATTATCATTTCTTGTTCTTTGTGTAATTTGCGGTGCGCAAATTGGCTGCAGCATTTTTTACAAGTATATGCACTTCAAAAAGCACAGTAAGATGACCAGTGGTTGTGAAAAACATTAAAATAAAAAGATTATTTCCTTTTATTAAGTAACAAAACAGAAAAGGATAACAATGGTACATGCTTGGAAAAGAAACAAATTATAGTTAGATTTTTAAAAATTGCAGTGTTTAAATTAAAAACAAAATGCTGAAGAGAACCACAAATCAACAAGATACTTAAACAAAACAGAGTTAGAAATCCATCTAATTCATTGATGCCCTTTAGAGAAGGAAATCTGCCATCCTTACCTGGTCTGGCCAACATGATGGGCCAAGGAGTGGGAGATGGAGTTTAATTTAGATAAGTGCGAGGTGTTGCATTTTGGTAAGACAAATCAGGGCAGGGCTTATAATCTTAATGGTAGGGACTTGGGGAGACTTTGGAGTGCAGGTTCATAGTTCCTTGAAGGTGAAGCCATAGATAGATAGGGTAGTGAAGAAAGCATTTTTGGTTAGGGCATTGAGAATATAAATTTGGACGTCATAATGCAGCTGTACAGGATATCAATTAGGCCACTTTTGGAGTACTGAGTTCATGTCTAGTCTCCATCCTATAAGAAAGATGTTGTTAAACTTTAAAGTGTTCAGAAAAGATTTACAAGCGTGGAGGGTTGAGCCCTAGGTAGAGGACAAATAGGCTGGGATTATTTTCCCTGGAGCTTTGGAGGCCGAGGGTTGACCTTAGAGATTTATAGTTCTATGTTCTATGTTCTATGTTCTATGTGAGGGGCATGGATAGGGTGAATAGCCAAGGTCTTCTCCCCAGATTAGGGGAGTCCAAAACTAGAGGGTATACGTTTTAGGTGAGAGGGGAAAGATTTAAAAGCAACCTAAAGGGCAACGTTTTCAAGCAGCGGGTGATGCATGTATGGAATGAGCCGCCAGAGGAAGTCGTGGAGGCAGGTAAAATTACAACATTTAAAAGGCATCTGGGTGGGTACATGAATACGAATGGTTTAGAGGGATATGGGCCAAATGCTGGCAAGTGAGACGCCTTAATTTACATTACCTGGTCAGCATGGAGGAGTTGGACCAAAGGGTCTGTTTCAATGCTGTACAACTTTATGATTCTATGATTCGATGTGACCCCAGATCCACAATAATGTGGTTGACTCTTCATTGAAACATGGGCAAGAGATGCTGGCGTAACCAGAGACACCCACATCCAATGAATGGATATAAAGACACATACGTGTCCAGTAGAAAGGAGGCACTGGTAGACCTGGTTCTTGGTACTTAAGCAGGCCGAGTAGAAAAAAAAATTACAGTGGGGGAACATTTTGGTGACAGTGTTCAATGTATTGTAGGTTTAGGATGACAATGGAAAATGACACACAACATTAAGAATAAACAACTGGCAGATAATAGGGAAAGAACAAAGATGGGCCGGATAGGCTGGACCCAAAGGTTGGTGTGTTCCCTCAATAGGGAAAGGAAGGAAAGCAATAGGTCATTGCAACATGAATGCAAAAATTGGTTGAAGGGTACAAGACAGAGACTAACAATGAATTTTTTTTTGGAATGAACAAAGGGTTGTAGAGGAGTTCCCCAGGTGTCAGTATTGGGACCAATCTTGATTCAATGAACAGTGGAGGAGCAGCATCAGCATCAGGCACATTGGACAATATCAAGAAATGGCTGAAGGCATTGGATACTACAAAGGACATGTGACCCAATGACATTTTGTTAATAGTGCTGAAGGTGTTCTTGGAACTAGCCGCATCTCTATCTTCAATACAGATACAACATTGACATCTATCACCAATGTGGAAAATGCTCCATTATGTCCTGCACATAGGACACCAAACAAATCCAACAGGCTTAAATCGGTCCACTCTTGATCAACAGCAAATTATGGAAGCTTTGTCAAAACAGACAAATGTGCTGAAGTTCAGGGATGAAGTGAAATGACAGTGACTGCCCTTAACATCAACAGCAGTATTTGACCAAGTATGGCCTCAAGCAGTCTTAGCAAAACTGGAGTCAATGGGAAACTGGAGAAAGTTCTCCACTGGTTAAAGCCATTCCTAACATAAAGAAAGGCAGACCGAAATAAAGAAAGTGCATTATTTCACACTATTTCACCCCTTCAAAATATTTCCTCAATCTATACCTGTACTCTGTCATAAATGCAAAAATTATGATAATAAAAAAAATCCAAAAGGGATTAGAGAAGTTTGGTGATACAATTAGCAAAAATACAGAAAGCAATAGAAAGGCTTATTTATGCATATCCCTGTTTGCTTTGACAAGGTGATGTGGACCTTTTCCTTCAAATACTGCAATCCTCATCACAATCATCCTCCTGCAATGCATTAGAGATAGAATTCTAAAATATTATAAACCCATCTGTAGTAACAGCATAAAAAGAAAAGTGATGAAGGAGACAATTTGGTGGAAGATAGTACAGAATTGACTTATTTCCAAGTACTTTGCCACAGTTTTCACAGTTTAACTGGATTTTAATTGCAGAACCATTAATGGAGGTTATTGTTGTACACAGCAATGTTATTGCACTTTCTATTTTAAAACCAGGTTTGTGTAAAGCTTAGTTAATTAAAACGCTTTCATGTGGAACTAAGCTTTCAAAGTACCACTAGCTATTTAAATCACTGATGTCCTCAAAAGAAGTCAAGGTTTTTTTTTTGCCAGCAAGGATCTCTTTCTTCCAAATCAATGGTGCATAGCTTTTATTAAATTACTGCTATGAAGTTGCTCAGGATATTTCAGTCTTCTAGTAACATTCCTACCCATAATATCTACACTGCTCAAGAATTCCTAAAAGGTCTTCCAATTTCCCTTTTGTAAAAAAAAGATGTTTTCCTGTTTCAATTAAGAAACTCTAGATAATCTTAAAACATGTATTTTAAAAATTGTTTTTAAATTCTGAACATTGGCAACATGTTAACAGGGACCATCTTAAAGTTATAAACTCCTCACTTCACAAGAAACATATTTCGGTAAATAAATCGTTGAATGACTGAAAAATTAATCACAAAAATCACGAATTCTGGCAGTGTAATTTGAAAAAAAGGACACATTATACTGTAAAAAGGCAAAGTTTCAAAAGGCAATCAAGTCTGCGAAAATAGCAACCACTGGAATACTAACTTGTAAATACTGCAACGATATGCTTTTGTTTAGCCCAAGTCACCAATACTCTTCGAGTACCCATATTACTTAAAATGCAAACTACCAAATATGTTGGCATTCTAATAACATCCACATAGATTGGTTACGATTTACAGTGTATTTCAATGTTTTGACTTCATTCATTTTAAGCGTGGACTTCGTTCAGAACTGAAATATGTTTCCACCTGCTGGACGTTTTGTTCCAACAGCAGGACAGACAGCAATAACATGGCTTTTGTATTGGGCTCTCCTTTACAGCTAGGCCCAAATATTTGATTTTGATTCTCCACAGGAAACAATCCAGATAAATAAATAACTACAAAAACCACATCACCTTATTACGAATGATAAAATAAGTACCTCTATTATTCACCTCAAAAACAAGCTGTATTTTCTTCTTTAAATGTGCTTCTCACGCTTCCTACCCAACACCGGAACAAATCCAACTGTATTATGGGAAACCCGCATGACCACAGAGCGCAGACGCCAATCGCGCAACACTTTGGGAAATGTAGTCCTGAGAGTTGGTCCGAAAAGATTGGAAGGAGTTAACTGGCTTTGCGCTGAGCTGTGCAAAAACGCATTGGATTTTAGTTCTGATATTGTTTGCAGTTTATGACTGTAAGACCTTTGAAAGCAAAGACAGAATATCCGCCAGGTTTTTTGCCAGGTTTCACACGCTCACCGGTGCCACGATTAGGAAGAAGCGGGAATAGCAGCACGAAAAGCGCGCGAGGGGCGTCGGCTCGAAAGCTGGAGGAGCTGCACGTGACAGAGCGCGAGGGATTCGGTGACAGCTCGAGAAGGCGGCGACAGGTAATAGACTGAGGTCAAGTAACACAGCGCGAAACGACAGGTAATAGAGAATGAAACGACAGGTAATAGAGAGCGAGATGACAGGTAATAGAGAGCGAGATGACAGGCAATAGAGAATGAAACAACAG